CGCTTTTTGGTCTTGCTTCTGTATTTACTCTGCATCATCGGCATCCACCATTGCTTTCGCTATCAATTAAGAGTCAAGAATACAATGTTCACTTTCCCGCACGGTTGAAGTTCGGTTGGTCTGGCTGGCGCTGAAGCAAGAGCGGCTCACATCGCCGTCGATCTTACAGCGTCAGAACATGACGATCGAAATTCAGGGCCTTTATCGAACAGCCTCGTCTCCGGTCTGAAGCAACAAAAATGAATTCAGCGAGAAGATGATCAAGAAAACCAAAATACTCTCGGAAGATCGTTATTATATTCTATCATTCTTAAAAAAACGCGCATCATTCGTGCCTAGTCATTGTTCGATGATTGCACTGTTACAGCCTTGAACAAAATTTATTATGAAAGCGGCGCGTGAAGGTTAGCTGCGAATTTATTCTTGATTCACCTGAACCAACAAACAGCAGGTCTATAAAAATGCTCGCCTCATGCCAACACCGCAACAGTGAAACATAAGTACTTTGAGCCCAAGCATATCCTGTTCTGTCTCTCTGACCAAAAGCATATCCTGTTCTTTCTATCTGACCCCAGACATATCCAGTTCTCTTTCTCTGACCCCAGGCATATCCCCAAGCAGAAGATGAATCGAGGTCTCTTGCTTCTCGTCGTGGCCACGACGTCGGTGTCGGCCCAGACGTAAGTGTGCTCTTGCTGTAAAATATTTTGTGCTCGCGATGACGTTTGTGACTATTTCATGTCGAAAAAATTGACAATATTTCATAGAGAAGCAGGACAAAATTAATTTTCAATTGATATGCTTCCAAAAAATTTTATGTTACCACTAAACAGACTAAAATAAAATATTTAAATGATGTTTTTGTTACAGTGTCCCTTCCACTTGTTTCTTGGCCTTACAATCTGCGATCAACATGCTGAACAACGCAAACGCAGCTACGACTTGCCCAACAAAATATCAGACGGCTATTAATTCATACTATGCAAGTAAGAAAATAGATAGGCAACAGATTATTACGTTTTTCATTACGTCTTTCACGCACAGGAACGTTTTCACGTTTCACCCGGTGGAAATCTCGGAGATATTTCAAACTATCGACAGCTTGGAAAAGATCCGGTCGAATGACCTGTTTTAAAATCTCGTACAAGAATCAGCGACAGGCCACATCAGCGGACCTATTCTTCAGCGCCGACTTCACTATGCTATGCTATGCTACGCTCAACGCTGCAATTGAACATGTTTCCTAATCTTTTCATCCTGAGGTAGATTGTCCCGCTCACACCTTAGCTTGGTCCCGTAGATGACGACTCGCACGATACCATCCAACGCAACGCTTCTGACACACTTTTTGTCGTTGACAGCCACCATTTGCATCATAAAATTTTGTGGACAGTAATTTTGTTGAATGCTACATACCATCTTTCCTTTCTGCTGCATTATTTTTAGATTATGAAATGAAGAAGAATAACTTCGTACTGTTACTTTATTTAACCCTCCCTCAACAGACCAAAACTGCTCCTGGGACTATGGCTCACAACCGCACAGTGTCGAAGTCTGTGATCCGATTGTGATGGATTACAATAAATGCGCCTTAAAAGCTGTAGGACTTGTGAGTATCTCTGCGAGCTGATTAAGAGTTGTGTTTAAAAATTTGATTTCATTATTTATTTCACGGTTGTTTGCTTGCAATAAAATGCGTTGGGAGTTGATTTTTTTCACACCCTGTTTGTCCAGTCCCTTTGTGGCTAAAATGAGCACAACGGTCAATACGGAACACGGCAAATTGAACTCACCCTGATTACGGCGAACCGAATTCATAGGGAACACCACAAACAGTACTCAACCCGAACACGGCGGACTGAATTCATGCGGAGCACTATAAACAGAAATAACCCTGGACACGGCGAACTGAACTCACCCGGAACACGTTTGAACCCAACATCAGTATCTGGATAGATATCTATATAATGTTTGACCATATTATTCACGAGCTCATAATATAAGCGGTGACTTGAGGAAAATCATCTATATTGGTGAATCTATATAGAAATCATCGATATTGGTGAAAATCATCTATCTATATCTTGATTACACACGTGCGATCGATGACCAGAGAATTCGTTGATTTATATTATTAGTGGGTGGAACTTTTCTTCAGATGACGGTAGATTAGAAGGCAAGTTTCAGAAAGTAATTCTTATTTATTAACGACGTTTCGAATGCTGAAACTTGCCTTTTAATCTACCGTCATCTGAAGAAAAGTTCCACTCACTAATAATATAAATCAACGAATTCTCTGGTCATCGATCGCACGTGTGTAAACAAGTAAATTCTGCCATCTAATATAAATTTCTATATCTTGATCTATATATAAATTTAAATATATAGTCTACATCATGCATGAAATTGACATTTCTTACCCTCTCAAGCGTTGAAAGTTACTTAATAACACATATTCACGATACTAATTCGTCCGGCCACTAACGGTTTCGTTGAAAGGGGTAATCGATCTATGAAATATTTTGTAAAGTTTTCCCGACACACCAATGGAGTGTCGCTCACACCAACCTTGGACTCACGACAATAACGTATAGCAAGAAATTTTATATATTCACTTACAGACTAATTTAACCCCTTACTTCTGCTCAATAAGCATTATGATGTTAGAACGTATGAGTTTCAATGTAGCGCCGAGGCGTTAAGAATGGTTATGACTCATGATCGACAGCAGTGTGAATGATCGGTGACCCCTGAATATTCGGTGGAACATCCATATTGGGAATAATAGTGTATATTNATAGAAGAAGGAAGGTCAATGAGGATTTTTGTGTGAGTTGCTCGCTGTTCGTTAGTCTGCTGGATGTCAGAGATGTAGGATCAGCTGAAAAGGCTGGGTTAGCATGTAGTCGAGATTTGTTTGTTATCACAGTACGGCCAGTTACTGTAGCCATGAGATTTAAGAGCATTGATAAATATTACGCGCTCGTAATATTCATACTAGATTCACTTAAGAAAAGTAAAAAAAGTAACTTTAACTGAACCTAGCCTAACCTAACCTAACCTAAACTAACCTAATTTAACCAAAAATGACACCTGCGACCAGACCCATGATCATGGCTTTTTCATTGTAAGTGAAAACCTGGTTAAGATAATGGATGGCTTTTACCAATGGTCCAGCAGGTTATCAAATTTTCAACTTATAGCAAAAGTGATTATACCGTTATAATCAGCATCGCAAGAGCTTTCTAATGCGCTATATAGATATTCTGAGATGACAAGGGATAAAAAGTTATTAAACACTTGGCCCGGATAATTCATTCGTTAAGTGAACCCCATTGGAATATCTACTTAATTTTTACTCATGGCTTTATGAATATTACGAGCCATGGTGAGTAGTAATGAGGCGCCAAAGACAGGGGAAGGAGTAGGAAAGTCGTCGGTTCCCGAGAGGTCCGCCAGTGTTGAGCAGAGGTCATCGAAGCTTGTTGTGTGGCCAGATGAAGAGGCAGACATGGCTGCCTTCTTAGCACTTGCAAACACTGAGTTTTACTGGAAAGTAGTCACAAGAGTTGACCGATGATCAAAATTGACGTTCAAAACATGTGACTAAACACTTCAGACAAATTTTGGTTTGCACTTTGAGCGATAGTAAGGTAGCACCTCGCACCATGAACGTTCAAACAAGCAAATTTCTCTCAACGTCTCCTTCTCCCTCCGCTCCAGAAACCAAGATTTCCAATACCACTTATTCTATAAATGAAATAAAAAATGGAATTAATGGCGGTAACCTCGAATATATGTACTAATTGACGGTGAGGAATAGTGAATTTCTCGCACCTTAGCGATCTGTGCCACATCCGGAGAATCGCACTCGAGGATATATCGATAGTTTCATCATTGATGATACGAATAAGTAATAAGAAAAGAATAAAGGAATATGCAGCGCCAACAGAAATTAGTAAGCCCAGTGCCTCACACGTTCAACTGAACTAAAACTCACATTTGTTGAAGCGTGAGGAGAATCATTGTTAAAATAAATAATTAATTCTGGGACCCATGAAGTTCGTTTGTCTTTCTTTAGCTGTCAAGGTCGTAAATGTCATAAACATCTCAACGAGCAAATATTCTCAGGAATATTGATGATCCCAGAGACTCACACGTTCAACTGAACTAAAGCTCACATGTGTTGATGCGCGAGGAGAATCATTAATCAACTGCCATAATGACCACGCGTGTTTGTTAGTTCATAACTCAGGGCAAATGCATTGCATTTAAATTCTTGGACCAATGAAATTAGATTGTCATCCTCCTGCAGTCGAGGTCACAGATGTCATTAGCATCTCAACCAGCAAATATTCTTGGAAATAATAATGATGGAGCAAAATAATTTGATGATAATTCATTAGAACACTGACCTTCAAGTCTGCTAGCGAGATCATCAACATCATCATGGTTTATTATAAAAAATAGTGCGTTTAAATATGCAGTCTGTAATTAAACATATAAAATACATCGTAATACGTTATTACCGCGAGTCGTAGAGCGTCATCCCGCTTTGACATGACGAGAAAACATTACAACCAAGTTCGATAGCACGATTACCCCTTTCAACAACTCCGTTACTTGCCGGTTGAATTATTAACGTAAACATATGTTTTTTAGATTAACTTCGTCGGAAGCGTGATTTCAGCAGCTATTACTTCAGCGCCCGCCAGACCAACCGATTTTTACTGTTCCCTTTACCAAATTTTACTGAATCTGACTCAGTTTTAAGGATCAGTTAGTTCAGTGCATGAAGTTAGCTGTGTTCATTTGTTTTTCATGTCTCTGTATTTACTCTGCATCATCAGCATCCACCAGTGCCTTCATTATCAATAAAGTGTCAATAATACAAAGTTCACTTCACCGCACGGTTAAAGTTCGGTTGGTCTTGCTGGCGCTGAAGTAAGAGCGGCTCACATCGTCGTGGAGCTTACAGTGTCAGAACGTTACCGTTGAAATTCAGGGCCTTTATCGAACAGCCTGGGTTCCGGTCGGAAGCAACAAGGAAGAGTTCAGCGAGAAGATGATCAAGCGAACCAAAAAACTATCGCAAGTACGTTAGTATATTCTATCATTATTTAAAAAACACGCATCATTCGTGCCCAATCTTTATTCGACGCCTGCACTTAATTGTTGCAGCCTTGAACAAAATTTATTAGCAAAGCTGTGCGTGGAGGTTAGCTGCGAATTTATTCTTGATGCACCTGAACCAACAAACAGCAGGTCTCTAAAAATGCTCGCCTCATGCCAACACCGCAACAGTGAAGTAACAGATCTCGGACCCCAAGCATATCCCGTTCTTTCTTTCTGCCCCAAAATATCCTGTTCTTTCTTTCGGCCCCAGGCATCTCCCCATGCAGAAGATGAATCGAGGTCTCTTGCTTCTCGTCGTCGCAGCGGCGTCAGTGTCGGCCCAGGAGTAAGTGTAGCGCGTTCACAATGCAGTAAATAGTTTGTGATCACAATGACGTTTGCGACTACTTTACGTCGAAATTATGTTGACCATGCTCCAAAATTTTATTGAAAAGCCAGGCAAGCCTAATTTTGAATATATATGCTTCCAACAAATTTTATGTTACAACAAAACAGACTAAATAAAAATATTCAATCTATGTTTTTGTTACAGTGTCTTCTCCACTTGTGCCTTGGCCTTGCAGTCTCTAGACTACAATATGGAAGTGACAGTTGCGACTTGCACAAAAAAATACTCGACGGCTCTTCAATCATACAATACAAGTGAGAAATTAGATAGGCAACAAATTATTACGTTATTTACGCACAGTTCAATCTACGCAAAATGCTCCGCTTGAAAATTTTGTGGACTGTAATTTTATTGAAGGCTACATACCATCTATTATTTCTGCTGCATCATTGTTAGATTATGAAATGAATAAAAAATAACTTCATACTGTTGCATTATTTAACCCTCCACCAACAGACCCAAACTGCTCCTGGTTTGTTGGCCCAGCATTTCCCAATGCCGAAGTCTGTGATCCGATTGTAATCGGTTTCAATAAATGCCTCCTTAAAACTACAGGACTTGTGAGTATCTCGGCGAGCTGATTATGAGCTCTGTGTGAGAAATTTTGCTTATATTATTTATTTCACGGTTGTTTGCTTGTTGTAAAATGTGTTGGGCGTTAATCTTTTTCACACCCTGTTTGTCCAGTCCCTTTATAGCTAAAATGAGCACAACGGTCATTGGAGAGGGAATGGATGTACATCGAAAGTAAAAATCGGATTACAATTCAATGATACGGACTAATTAAGCATGATTTTTTCCTCCAAAATGAGTGCTGGTGTAAGATTATTCTCTATCAACCGCTCCAAAAAGAAACATGAATATAAGTCTTTTGCAAAGAGCAGACGACTCGAGTTATATCAGAAGGGATCAGTTAGGAGACTCCATTGAAATCAATTTGAAGCTAATCTTCTATGTTTTGAGGGAAGTTAGTCATTTGTTTCTTTTATTCTCATACATGCTTGTGATTCAAATATTTTTGCATCAGCTACTCACAGTGATATCTGCACTTGCTTGCATGAAGCGTAACATTCTAGATTTATCAACAATTTACATTTTTTCTGCTCATACAATATATTCCCCCGCATGATTCTTCAAATGAGGAAATGGTCTCTTCTTTTCCTTGACTTCCTTTTCTCCATTAACTCATCGCATTCTATCCTATCTTCAACAGCTTAAAGCCGACGGCTCTTTCGACGACGCGGCCTTCAAGAAAACAGCGTTGCAGAACAAGTGCAGCTCGGACGCCAAGTTCTCAACCGCGTATCAGCCTTGCAGGGACTCTACCAGGAAATACTTAAACGTAAGGAACGAATATTTTGTTTATAATTTATTTTAAAATTCTTTAGACCAACTTTAAATCGTTTTCTAACATACATTTCTTATCGAGGATATCAGAGCCTCAATGTAATGTATGGCGTGACTATACCTCCAACTCAAATCCATGCCTTCGGCGAGAGTACACTTTGTTGTATCTGCGAATGTCTGTTGATGTTTCATGTCCTGTTTTCCAGTATAATCGGTTCCTCTATTGCCTATGGGACCAAGTAAATATTTGAAGCTAATGAAAGAGAATGAAATCACCCGGAACTCGGCAGACTGTACTCATACGAAACACTACACGCAGAACTCACCAAGAACACGACTGAAATCAACATTAATATCAGGATGCAGATCTAAATGAAGTTTGACTTTATTATCCCAGGGTTCGCAATGTAGGGAAGTGTTCTGAGGAAGATAATCTATATTGATAATGATAATCACTATCTTGACCTATATATCAATCTAAATATATACTCCATATCATGCAAGAATTTGAGTTTTCTTACCCTCTCAAGCGTTGAAAGTTACTTAATAAAACATATTCACGACACTAATTCGTCCGGCTAGTAACGGTTTCGTTGAAAGGGGTAATCGATCTATCAAATATTTTGTAAAGTTTTCCCCACACACCAACCTGGAGTGTCGCTCACACCAACATTGGATTCACGACAATAACATATAACAAGAAATTTTATATATTCACTTACAGACTAATTTAACCACTTACTTCTGTTTTATAAGCTATTATGAAGATAGAACGTNTATCTTGTATACGGGGTGGTAATACAGAGTTGCGATACAGAGGAATAAGCTACGGCATCGACCGTAAGGTCGGAGAACTCAAGCTACACGCTACATCACGGAGCGCTTGTCAACTACTGCGGGGGACCCTACTTAAGGTTGCTAGCCCTTATATAGGGTCCACTTCCGCCCACTACTAAGGTCTTGATCACGTGATCTATCACTTGTCTTCGTGTCTTCGTGAAAAATATGCTGTATGGCAAGGTCTCAGTGACACCGTGAACTCAATAGCTAACTATGTCTGCTGGTAAACACATGAGGACTCGTTTCCACAACCTACTCTCGGAAACTTCAGCGCCAGCGAGACCAACCGAATTTTCACTGTTCCCTTTACCAATTTTTATTGAACCTAACTCAGTTATCAGGATCAGTTAGTTCAGTGCGTGTCGTTTACTGGGTTTGTTTTTTGTTTGTGTTTCTGTATATACTCTGCACCATCAGCATAAAATAACATAACATAACATAATATAACAAAGTGATGTCGGCGCTGAAGAGTAGGCTTGATGTGGCCTGTCGCCGATTAAGTACTTTTCGTGACTTGTTCACAGAAGATTCAAAAGCATGTCCTCTGACCGGATTTTTTTCAAGACTGCCGATAGTTTGAAACAGCTACTAGACTTCCACCGGGTTTGATATGGGGCTAGGCAATGCAAGTCTGAACATAATTTTTCCATAGATTTACGTAGTCTGTTCTTTAACGCATTCATACTCTGAGCGCCTATGATTTAATCGGAGAGGCTGTTCCACGCGTCGGTGATTCGAAGCGAGAAGAAATGTTGTTAATTAGTTAATAGCAATTTTTTTGTTTTGGGGCATAAACTCCCCTTAACTCGCTACATGAATAATTTTACATTACAGAAATTTTTGTTGGCGATATGATTTATACTTTGCCATTAGTCGGCATCCCATATTTTCATTTCTATACAGTTATGTTGCACCGAGTTTGTTTGTCTGCTTGACAGTCCCTTGCTTGAAATGCTACTGTTGCGGGCCAGCCTTGGCCGCTCTTTAAACGCTGAGTTTTTTTTAGCCGCCGCACCTCTCTGACTAAGACTGGAGTGAGAAAGTCTGCGTAGATAGGCTTCTAGGTAGCAGCTGATTGCGAGGAGGTTGTCTACTTTTGCGTGAAAAACTACACTTTGTAATGTTTGTATATATCTTTATTTAATGTATGCATGTCTGTATATGAAAACTTATATGCATTTAGTTTATAGTCCTATGTCGTTGCCGGGGATTTTCTATTTTTTTTAAATATATCTTATGTCCTTTGAAAATTCACTAATCTATTTTAAGTAATCCTCGTAAGTAAGGACCCGCTGGCAGAGACCCAGCAACGTCATTTTATGGAGCGTAATTGTCCCGCTATAATACCTATAGACCAAGATGAATTATTTCAAAAAATTTGTTTTGTTTGAATTCCTAATTGGAACACTAAAAGTTTTTGAAAATAAAAGTTAAATTTGTTTCATGCATTTGTGTTTCGGCCTAACAAAGGACCGACACCCACCCACTAGTTACTCAAGTTACCTCTGCCAGGATCGGCAATAGTACCACACATCATAAATAGGATGCCCAGGGACTCTTGCATTCAAATGAACCAAAACTCACATTTGTTTATGCGTGAGGAGAAACATTAGTCAACTGCCATAATGACCACGCGTGTTTGTTAGTTGATAACTCGGGACAAATGCAAGGCATTGAAGTTCTCGCACCAATAAATTTATATTATCTTCCTCCGGCAGTCGAGGTCGCAGATACCATTAGCATATCAACGCGCAAATATTCTCAGGAATATTAAATGAGCACAGTGACTAAAACGTTCAACTGAACTAAAGCTCACATTTGTTTATGCGTGAGGAGAAACATTAGTCAACTGCTTTAGTGACCAAGCGTGTTTGTTAGTTGATAACTCTGGGCAAATGCATTGCAGTGAAGTTCTCGGACCAATGAAGTTCGATTGTCTATCTCCGGCAGACGTGGTCGCAGAAGTCGTTAGTCTCGACGTGCAAATATTCTTTAGAGTTTAGAATATAAATAAGCAACTAAAATAATTCAATATTAATTTTATTGGAATATTGACCTTCATGTCTGCCAGCAAGATCATCAACGTCATCATGGTTTATTACACAAAAAGAGTACATTAGATTATGTAGTCTGTAATTAAACATATAAAAAATATCGTTATATGTTTTTGCCGAGAGTCGTAGAGCGTCATCCCACTTTGGCATGACGAGAAAACTTTTCAACCAATTTTCATGGTTCGATTAACCCTTTCAACTACTCCGTTACTGGCCGGATGAATAGTGTCTTAACTTCAACTACTCCGTTACTGGCCGGATGAATAGTGTCTTAAAACTTCAACTACTCCGTTACTGGCCGGATGAATTAGTGTCGTAAATGTATCTTTTTTTGCTGCTGTTAGTAGAATTGGGGTTCCCCTGGCTTTTATCCGCGCTCTCAGTACGTGTTTTGATATTGATGTCTACACAGCTCATACTCATATGTTCGAAAATCGCGTCATGGAGGGAACCATTTAATTTTTCGCTCATATCTCGGCAACGCCTTCTCTGATTTTTTCAAATATTTTTCACTGCCTTGCATGGAAATTTCTCCAAATTTTTATGTAGGTTTCGTGCCGAAATTTTTTTCATTTTAAAAATGTTGTGAAAACACGAAAATTTGGTCGAGTATTTGCAAAAAACGCAGTCTTGCGCCCATATTTTTTTTTTGCTTTTATCTTTTCTTCCAAACTTCATACACTAATTGTCTGATTGATGACGAACATTTTGATGTGTGACTCATTCAAAAAAATTCCTTTTTACGGTATAAAATTTTCGTTTTTCTTTCAAAATTGTACAAATTTCACCAAAAATGTCAGTTTTTCGTCCATATCTCAATTGCGCGTTTCATGATCAGGTTCAAACTTTACAAACTCTTTCTCACAAGTGATCTCTACATATTGAAGTAGGTTTTGTTTTTTGGCTATTGATATTTCCGGAAAAAAATGAATGCCAAATTAGCGATTTTATGTTTTTTCCCTCATCGTAATTTCAAAATAATTTCTGAATGAAGAATCGTAGCTATTTCGGGTTTATTTCTAAAGCATTATCATGTTAAAAGCTATACTACGATGGGTAGCACAGGTCACAGCCTCATCTAAAGCGGCCGCAATTTGTCGTTTAAAATGACGTGTTGAGAGTTTCACACATTCCGCGAGATCTAGCGCTACGGTTCCAAAACTTGTTTATCGTATTATTCTGTATAGGTGGTAAGTAGAGTAGTCTGATGATAAGTAGTAGTATAGATGGTAAGTAGAGCATCTTTTTGTGTATTAATCTATTTTTAATTCCGTTTTTACTCTGAGATAGAACGGTTTAATTAAAAGTGTTTGAGAGATTTTCTTTAGGAGGATTGAATTTTCGATCAGAAATGGGCCTAGTATGGGTAATCTTGTTGATTAACTCCTACATAACCAAATTGAGAAACAAGATCTTTAAACTAATACCCATTTAAACCTTTATTACTTTTCCGACACATCGACCAATGTTTTACAGTCGCCGATTTCGTTGCGTCTCTTTACAACTCAATAAAAAATGCAATAAAGACAACAATATACAACTATACATCATTAGTAAAACCGCGCGTCATGTTGTATTAACTAAAGTCTCTATTTTATATTCATTTACCTGCTGCTTTGATATCGGGCGGCTAAGAATTAATATTGTAACTGTTGGGTGAGTTTCCATTGTTTTAAGTCTAAACAATACCCAGGTTAGAAGTAAACAACCCTTGAGAGGGTAATGGGTAAACAGCAATTAAGAGGGTAAGGTGTAATCGACACTTGGGGGTAAAGGGGTAACAAACGCCTGCGAAGGTATGGGGGTAAGCAGCACTTGAGGGGGTAAGGGGGTAACTAACACTTGAGGGGTAAAGGGATGACCAACATTCGAGAGGGAAAAAGAGCGAGAGGATAAACCAATACTTGAGAGGATTATGAGTAAATAAGGCACAAGAGGGTAATGGGTAACCTAGGCTTGAGAGGGTAAGAAAACTCAACTTCTTGCATTTCGTGGATTATATTCCGGTCCCATCATTATAGATTGTTTCTCAAAACACTTCCGTGCATTATGAACGCGTGGATAATATAGTCAAACTTTATTTAGATATTCATCCTTATATTAATGCTGATGTCAGTCGTGTTCCGGGTGAACTCTGTTTGTCGTGTTCCGTATTAGTACAGTCCGCAGTGTTCCGGGTGAGTTCAGTCTGCCGTGTTCCAGTGAGTTCTGTTTGCCGTGTTCCGGGTGATTTAATTCTCTTTCAGTTGCCTCAAGCTGTAAATGTTCTCTTTAGGCAGTAGAGGAACCGAATATACTGGAAAACATGACATGAAACATCAGCATAAAACATTTGAGGATACAACAAAGTGTACTCTCGCTGACGGCATGGATTCGAGTTATGAGGTATATAGTCACGCCATACATTGCATTGAGGCTCGGATATCCTCGATAAGAAATACATTTGTTAGAAAACGATTTAAAGTTGGTCTAAATAATGTTAAAAGAAATCATAAACAAAATAACCGTTCCTTACGTTCAAGTATTTCATGGTAGAGTCCTTGCAAGACTTGTACGCGGTTGGGAACTTGGTGTCCGAGCTGCACTTGTTCTGCAACGTTG